TGGAACGAAAGTGGCTAACTTCTGTCAACCTCATCTACAAGCAAGGACAAAAATAAAGCAATTCAATTTGAATTAATATCGATTCTGGAAAAAAAAAAAAAAAATCGATTTTAGAATATATATATATATATAACAAAAAAAAAAAAAATTCACAATAGCTAGGTGAATCGATTTTTTCTCCCAGCCCTAATGTTCTGCAGTGAATGGTTTCAGTGTGTAGGCAGTGCTCTGGTGGCATGTGTCTGCTGACAGTTTGTGCTTAGGCTGAGTGATCTGTTATTGACTTCCTTCCAGCAGACCACCTGGAGAATAATGACATTTACAGACATCATTATTCAAGCAATGACGGCATCAGCTCAGCCTTTGATAAAACATTATCGACGTATGGCTGTCTGTATGCCTCCCACAGAGCTATTCTGCAGTTTCACTCTTGATTCATCGTTTTCTGTTCTAGATGAGCAGAAGAGTGCTTTCTTATAGTGAATCAGAACATTAAGAAAGACCTCTTCTACCCTTAAATCCTTTACCAATTCCTCACAGAATGGCAATTCATTTTTTTCCTTGTTGTCATGTTGCATTTGAGTTTTCATTGATTCCACACAGTTGGTGCAAGATGACATTTGAATGCGAGAATGGGGATGTGGCTGCGAGCTTAATTCACGTCAACATCCTTCTGTCAAGACAGAACGTCTGCATCGATGACCACAGATTTTCTCAAACAAATACCATGATTATTATGCAATAACGGAGATGACTGGACTAATGGAAACTGTGTGCCCATCAAGGACTAATAACCATATCCTAACCAAGCACAACACAGCCAGATTCCAGTGACTAGTAATATTTCTGTCCACAAAAAAAACCCTAAAAATTGAAAATGAGCCAAGACGCAAACCATAGCTAAGCAGAACAGTTTTCTCACACTTAAAACGCACTGCAGCTGTAAAGCACACATTTTCCTGACTTCACCATTCTGGTCACACATTCTTTCTAGTAGCCACCAATGATTTAGAAACTATTAAAGTTTGAGGTTTTTAAGTCAGCAGGTGTTAGTAAAATGATGACTTTTGGTTTGACAGCTCAACATCGAGTAAGAATCAGTCACACAAATGCAGGTTACCATCGCTGAGGCCTGAGTTCATGACACATCAATCCAGAGTCTCATTTAAGCCCAGTAAACATTTATGGTCACAGACATTGACGAAGTAAAACAACATGCAAAAATGTATCTGCAAATTTTTCCACAAACAAAACATCAGGTTACCACAGGTTATTGTCATGCCTATTAAACCTGACCCACATACAAAAGAACAGGTGTTCGTCAATGTTTCTACAAATTTGAGGTGTACAAAAATAGACTCTTTATTTCTGTTTGATTCATTCTTTATGATAGTACTTTGCATGGTTGCATTTAGCCCATATTTATATAAAAGTCTCAATATTAATGCTAATTTTTGTAATGCTAATGTCAAGCCTTATAATAAACAACTAAAACAAGTATTCAAGTATTTTTGAATGCCATATTAAATGTGAACTAAAAATGTATTATTTGTTACATAAATATTAATTATAGAGTACTACTTACAAGTTCTTCCAACCATATAAAGCAAAGAGAGTGCATCTAGCACTAGTCTGGGCATCAGTGCAATTCTGGGATTCAGCCAACAGCAGACAATGAGGAACTCATGACAATAAAGTACCGGCAGCAATAAAAGGTGTTGCTTTTTCAGTTTGAAATAACCCAAGGCTTTTCGACTGAGCCAAGTCTTTTAAACATGGACAGAAAAACAATGTTTCACTGCCTCATTGAAACCACCTTTTGAACCAACCCACTAGGAAAATAGTGTTGTGTGGGCTAAATCAGCAACACGATAACACGACCACTGGGTTAAATGAGATCAGCTATGGAGTTAAGCCAGGTTTTGAATGCCTCTGCTCTGAGATAAGGTGAAAAAAGATCAGGTTTAAGATTATTTATAGAACGCTGCAAGCTGTTTCTCATCTAATACCCCTTTTCAACCAAGGCAGAGCTGGTGCTGGTTTGGAGCCAGAGCCTAGTTTCAATTCGGTTCTTTGTTTTTCCACACGCAAAGTACCAGCTCCGAACCAGGAAAAGTGGTTCTTAAGTAGCACCAAATCATTGCTGGTCTACTAGAACAGAGCCAAGTAAGAACCGCTTGCGTCAGGGGCTGGGGGCGGGGTTACCGTGACCAAAAAGACGAATAGAAACTTGTGACCGCCATTTTTAAATAGCAACTAGTCGAGCTAATAGCAGCTTGATTATAATATCCGTCTATGTAAGTTACGGCGAGCTGCACAAACGCGTTGGATTCCGATGTATTTTTGCAAACCCATGAGCATCCATAGTAACGCAACGTCCGTTATTGTTGATGGCTTGTTCGAGATGCATCGGAGCGGCGCGGACCGATCGGAGCTGCGGGAGTGTTTGGAGATCATACGACTCCTTGTGCTTTTGGATCGCTTTCGCAGTGCTTTGATGTCATGCGGCGATCGATCTGCGAGAACCCGATGCATCTCGAACAAGCCAAGCGTGTTTGTGTTTGGCGCTACCGCACTAGCGTTGCTGGGCAACATGAGACGTATGCAGTGACGTAAGATCTGGCTCTGTTGTGGCTCTCTAGCCGGTGGAAAGGCAAACCGGTCCTTAGTAAGGCTTGTCAGTCGAACCAACTCCGAACCAGCTCTGGCTCTGGCTCTGAACCAGCACCCGGTTCTTGTTGGTAGAAAAGGGGTATTAGATTACAAAATTGAACTTAAACTAAATACCTCTAATAGACAACTATTTTCACTACGGTTTTACCACAAAAACGACATTCATCAAGTCAAGAATGATTTTGGAATTTCGAAACACTAGCCTATTTTGTGGAGATAGGCCTATATTATTTTCCACTGCATATGTGGATGATATTCAACATTGCAAAAACATACATAAAACGTAAATGTTACAATATACAGCATCTTATTATAATGATGGGAGTTTTACACACATGGATTTTGTTTGGATTTTCAGACTTGGCTCAATTTGCCTTCCACCATGTTTCTCCAATGCCGCATGCATTTCCATGACATCTACTTTGATGATTTGAGAATGAATTACGCATGAAGTTACTTTACCTACTGAACACACAGTAGTGTAATGCAATTTTTGAGCTTTATTTTTTCAAAGATAACTGATTAAGCATAGAAGTCAAATTAGGAGTCAAAAATAAATATAGTATAATGTTAAGTTCTGGTTTCACAGATATGGTTAACCCTGGTATAATTTTACACTTGTCATTATGCTATTTACATCTTATTACCCTGCCAAACTGTTTTTAAAAGCCTATTCACATAACACTTTTAGTGAAAAGAAGAAAGTTCACAGTTTTACCAACAGGCTATATAAGAGACTTATTGAGCTGCATTGATTATAGCGGACTTTGTGAGATCGTGATGAACTGAGATGAGTGACGTTAGGTATATTAAAGAGAGCGCTCTTTGCAGGCTTTCTAGGCGATATATAATCCATTCAGAATTTGCATAAAACTTGTTTTGTTGCATTAGTTAAGGCAATGCTTATTTATTATTCAAATTGGCTGCCCTGCCAAATCATGTATACAATATGCTTGCTTTTCTGTTCAAATTATAGTGGTTTGTGAACATAGCCGCATCATTAACAAATCATTTATCGGGAGCATTTATCTGGGGATGTGTAGGTTGTTGCTAGGCGACATGTAACTTGAAACTATTTCGTGACTTTCTATTTAAATGTGTATTTAAAGAGGAAATGGATCTCCTTAGACTTACCCTGGAGTTGGTTCACCCTCCAGCTATGTGCATAGGTATTAAACAGCTTCACATACAGTGTTTTCAACCACACTTGTTATTTCTGTCTTAAAATAATTCAAGTTATCACAGAAGTACTGGGATAAAAGTTTATAGTTCGGATAAACACTGATGTCTACTGTAGCAATCAAAATAGAGCACACTCCCTTTTGAAAGCAACTTGGCGCTTCAATGATTGTATCAAATACATTGTTACACCAGTAGGTGACAACAAGTGACTGTTAAAAAAATTGTAGCCTATTTGTCTTTAAATCATTCATTCAAGAGGTTCATCTATAAACTCTTGTGAGTCCTTTGTCAGACAAAAATGGTGGATTATGATTGGTCAGATCGCCTGTCAATCAAACTCCTTGCGAAAGGGTCAATTCATCCAGAATCATGTAGCTTTAACCAACAGGATGGCTTTTATGTTAATATAGAAAAGGTCATCAAAACAACATATTCCGAGACTTTAATGCAGGGTTTTGAGAAAAAGAAGAATGTAAACCAGAGTACAGCCTTGCAGCCAGTGAAAATAGAGCAGGCGTGAGACTTCAAGCTCTGCAGGCAATTCATGATCATGGATATGAGAGCCAGTAGGCGTAATCATTCAGGCATTGCACCATGATTTGGGCAGCGACACTACAGTGGTTTTCAGAAGAAAATTCCTGTGAAAGTCAGCTGATCTTCACCAGTTTTGAGAACACGCATTAAGACTCAGTCAGGAATGGTCAGTTATATCCCCTCACCATGGCAACAAATGTCTGTCAGCCTAAATTTGTTTGGATGGTACTGAGTTCTTGGTGTTGACAAGAAAAACTCATTATATTAAATGAATACTGCTACACATCATGACGTAAAACGGTCATTTCAGTGCTCTCAATAGACAGTCACCATGCTAGAAATATACTGATTTGAGTGACACAGGTGGGCTTTTATTTCCGTTCTGTAACTAGGCAACAGCAGCTCAAAGAAAGTTCTAAGTTATGTTCTGGAAAGAGTCATTAGTCATTACTACCTAAAAACAAATGCAACCGATTAAGTAATTCAACAACATAAACCTCAAGGTCACTTCCTTCCTTTTCTGGTTAAAACAAAACCCACCAAATGTTCTGTAACAGATTTACAGATAGATTAATGGTGAACGTTATTCTTAAAGAAACACAGATCCTCACCAAGTGCCAGAAGAAATCCACAGGCTTGACCAACTGACCGGGCTGCTTTCTTTAGCTGCCGACCAGGGATCTCTTCAACTGAAAGACAAAAGGAAAATTCCCATTAGAGAAGTCATTTGTATTAAACAAGAGATCTCAGTCAGCGGGGTGAATTACAGAAATGAGGGCAAAAAAACTATTTATTGGAAGAATGGGTTGATGCTGATTTAAAAAAAAAAAAAAAAAAAAAAAAAAAAAAAAAAAAGAGGTTATTGTCTTCTGGGTGGGTGCTCTTGTTTCTAAGCAACAGAAACCTCGACTCATCCCCTCATTGTTCTTATGTTGTTCAACAGCTACAAAAAAAATAAAAACAGAACCTAGTGCTCTGATTGTACATCTGCCATCAATTCTTCATCAGCCCTTTGATGTTTACTGAACCTGGTTTGATAAACACGTCAAACACACAAGTTATGAAATACAATATATTAGGGCTGATTTGATATTAAAATACGCAGCGCTCGACAGTGCAAACGCTTCACTCGAATTTGAGACTAAAATAGATGCCAGTGAACTGTAAAATGTGTTTAGCAGCATATGTGCAGAAGTCCCCACAGGCCCTTAAAAAAATGTTTATTTTATGATGATTTAAATTTGGGAATGGAAAACCAGGAATTGTGCAGCCTAATGTCTTACAGGGTTGCTGCACACTTTTTAAAGTCAAATTTAAGGCTTTTTAAGACCTGAAGAAACAAAAAATAATACTGTGCATTAGGGGTGTGCAATATTGACACAAGAATTATATTATTAAGTTCTGCATAATTAAGGGTGTGGCCACTTGAGTGACAGGTGGATTAGTGCTGCTGTCACTACTAGCCGTTTGTCTGCTGTCTGTTAGCCGTCACATCACCTCAGCTAATCTCGCCTCTTTGCCAGTTTTCGGTTATCCGGGACTCACGCGCTGCCAAGATGGCCAAGGCCGGCTCCGCCAACTATGGGCTTCAAAAATGGTCTTCAGAAACCTACGAGTGATGTCACGAACACTACGTCCATATTTTTTTTTACAGTCTACGTTTTGGACCCAGGCAACGGTGATGCGTGACATCAGACTTAACAAGCGGATAGAAAAGCATAGACATTTTAAATGGGGTGTAAGAAAGTATCAATACTCACATGAATATCGCAATATTATGTTTGGCGATACTGTATCGATTTTCAAAAAAACTATCAATGTTTATAGATCGATAGATTAAATTAAAAGATATATGATCAAATATTCGTAGCAGTGGCTTCATGCTCGGTTTAAACCCCGACCGATAGATGGCAGTGTTATCGCTGAAGCGCTTTTTCACCGAAAACAGTTCAGCGGAAACTCCGCCCTGCTGACGATTCTTAAGATGTTATTGGTCATGTCAATCACAGTACTAATTGCCTACACCAAACACGGATCCCTAAACCTACACATCATTTCAAACTTAAAGGGATACTTCACCTCTGGAAAGATGAATGTGTATTTAAAAAGGGTCATTTATGTAGAAGAAATGTGAAATTATTTTTGAATTGGAGCTTTCTAGACTGAGAAAAGCCAGAAAATGTATTTTTGGCTTATGTGGATGAAAGACAACAACTCCCAGAATGCACTTGCTTCGCTGCCCTAGGAGGCCACGCCTACCGGTAACAGAGCGCAGTCGTTAAACAACAAGTCTATGCTACTAGTGAGTCTCCGTGATGAGTCTGCCCGAAAATGTGTTTCGAGATCGCCCAAAATGTCCGGGATTCGGCTTTTGCGTTCTACAGTCGCCATTCATTATGTTTACTGTGGTGAGCAGGACGAGGCTAGGGCCGCGGGAGAACGGCGCGAGGCCGGTGGCGTGATTACCGATGAGCGACACCTGTGAGACGCACCGGTCTCGTATCTCTCACGGAGGAGCGGGAATTTTCTTAGCAATGTTAAAACGCACATCAACCGATCACTTGTTTAGCGTTCATGTAAACACTACATTCAGATTCACCAATCGGAATGAATTCAGTTAGATTGAAATAAAAGGTGTGCATGTAAACAATGAATGGCGACTGCAGAAAGCAAAAGCTGAATCCCGGACATCGACGGCCGGACATGTCCGGGAAAAAAGAGGATGGTAAGCCCTACTACTCAGCTTTCTCCACAGAACAAGAGCCTGCTAGCTTAGCTTCCAAAAAAAGATGGCTGACACTATGTGTTCATTCTGTGAGTGAGATCCCACCCTCTATGGGCGGGATGAAAACATGCAGAACAGCCCCTACTACTGACTGTAGTCTTTAGCCTCTGGCCAAAAAATCCTCCGATGACGCAAAATGACGATTTTTGCGTCATTGGAGGATTTTTTCCAGACAAAAAATACATAAATCTTTCGTCTCAGGGGGATATGAGGGTGGAAAGTAGGGCTGCACGATATTGGTAAAAAATCACATTGCGATATTTTATTTTTCTGCGATATATATTGCGATATAAAAACAATTTCACCAGATTACTTAAATAGCTTTATTTGGAAAGAATGAATCATTCTAGAATGACTTGGGTGGTTTTGTCATGGAGTAAATCTGCATAGAAACTAATATTAATAGTATGTTAACTAATGTAGTTAACTAGACTTTAATAAATGGAACCTTATTGTAAAGTGTTTCTGATTTATGTCTCTTGAGTTCAGTGTTGGACAGATCAGTTGTTTTAACCATTCATTAAAGTGAATCGGTTCAAATGAGTCATTAGTTCGCGAATCGGACGTTTCATTAACGGACCACATCGCACAAGATTTGTCAACACAGAAAACATTTCATCACTGGATGAAATCCATCACTGAGTCAACTCAACTCAATTCATTAATATGCGCGAGGGAGGGAGAGCGAGAAAGACAGTTTGAAGACGGTGAGAGTGCGCGCGCGCGACCGGGGCTTTCACTCTCTCTGCTCGCTCTCTCAGTTAAACAAGCGCAGCAGTCAGTCTTTACATCAGTCACCGGTCAAACTTTGGCGGGACAAAAATACGCTTTAGAGGCTGACAGAAAACAGCGCGCAAGTTCCAGTCTTCTTGCGCTTTATGTTTAAACTGACAGGACTTGCAAATTGATAAACTCTCACACTATGATGGTTGAACTTTGCAATTAATCCACGAATCACAAGCGTTACGGGCCGGAGAGCTGCTGGCACGTTGCCTACTGATCATGAATCACCATCAACTACGATCCATACTTGACATCGTACATATCTGCGATGTGACTATCGTGGATGCGCACATCGCGATATCGATGTTAAAATGATACATCGTGCAGCCCTAGTGGAAAGCATGGTAATTCGAAATACTACAGGATTTAGCATTAAGCTTTGTATTAGTAGAAAACCTGGGCTGCGTTCAGCGCCGACAAAACGTTGCAGAACGTTTTTTAAACAGAAACGGTGATGCGTTGAACGCACTGTTGTGATGACGCAAGAGTTGCAACTACGGCAGCTGAGAAGGCTTTTTGTGTTCTTTGTGAAGAATTTTCGGAGCCTGATGAAGTCGGTATAAATATGTTTAATACTTCAAAATATGCCCGATGTTACAGTTACTGCACTTGCCGCCCAGAACACAAGAGAACATCCCAATCGAGTGAAGGGATTTGTGGAAACTGAAATGGAAGCACATCTTACCTGATAAAGACTAAAACACATCTATTTAGCCTCACATTCTTGTTGTTCATAATGTTTTATTAATACCCTGTATTTTCTTTCTCATTTTTAGGAAAAGCACTTTACATGCATCGTTTATTTCTATACCAAATGTCATACACTTGCAATGAAGCTAAAAATATAAACAACTACATCATTATGTTGATATCCTATATTTTTACAATAATACTTACGACAAACATGTCTTCTAATATCCTTAGTTGTTGCATATCTAACACATTTGTAAATTACTTCCATTGTGCGAGTTCTCTTTAATACCGTGTGCTTTATATACATGTTGCTGGCTGCTGATTGGACTGCAGTTCTGACACGCCCACCAAACAAGAGAAAACGCATCTCAAACCCCGTTGCACACCGGTGCACGCCGTTTCCAGGAAACATGACGTTCAACCCGGAAACCGTAGGAAAACGTTGCGCACCGTTGTGATCTTGAACATGCCCCTGAAGTATCCCTTTAACCAATGAAATTAGCTGCAGGGCGGGATTTATGGTGAAGTGATTTGGGGGGAAAAAAGGATAACACAAAACAAAAGATTTAAACCATCTCCCGCCACAGTGGAAGTCATTTTGGCTTGCCTTCCACTATAAGGAATTTTCATGCTCTTCTAAATCTAAACTTAGGAGAGCATGTGCACCTTGGTAAAAAACGAAGCATCAAGCCCTGTCATTTCATGAGACCACATATTTACATGTCCTTGACCACAATCAGCACTGTCACGCATGCCAACCTGCTTGTGTCGGGTGGCTACCCATAGTGCTCCTGGGTTGCATGCCAGCGAGGTTCACACCTCCACAACATGTTATGCATGTTCTAAGTGCCTCTTCTTCATGCAAAGTGACAGCAGAATGATCAGCCGCCTTTGGCCGCTGTATGCCAACTCCCTCCATCACAGTAACTTATATGCTTAAGTGAAATTGGCCAACAGATAGCACAGACGTGCGTGTGTTTGTTTGGGGGGGTTGGATTTGGCATGGGAACACACGGTTGTGAGTGTTATCACTTGGCTTGCATCAGTGGCTCTAATTTCCATCTGGTCTGCATTAGTGGGAGAATGAGGGAGGAGGCAGATCTGGGCTCCTCAACCGCAGTCATGAAAGTACACAGACCAAAGGACTTCATCTTTTTTGGGAAAAGTAATGGGCATGGATGGATGGACTCTTCAAACATGGCTAGAGAAGAAGCATGTGCATTAAAAAAAATTAGTTCAAAAACAAGCAGCCATTCCAAAACAAGATATTTAGCTATTTCAAGAGGATTTCTTCAGTATCACAATTACTCTAACAAACATTTCACATTAAATATGATCACGTAGAGGTGGACAGTAACAAAGTACATTTACTTGAGTACTGTACTTAAGTAGGCCTACACTTTGAGTATCTGTACTTTACTTGAGTATTATTATTTTTGTAAACTTTTTACTTTAACTTCACTACATTTGAAAGACAAATATCGTATCGGACAGACGTTGGATTATGGTTGGAAAAAGTCGAGTTGACGTCAGAACCAGACTGATGTTTGTTTCTGACATCAACCCGATTTTCATTTTCAACCACAATACAACGTCTGTCCAAAGTTGGAGATTAATGTAAATCTGGCGTTGGATTCTAACATCAACCTGATTTTCATTTTCAACGTTGGGTTTGCACTTCAGTTCTAAATGCGAATTTTGTCATTGTTTTGGAGCACACTAGCTTATAGCAGGGGCGGCCTTACCTATGTTTCACCCGTTTCATTTGAAACAGGCCCCGCCCTCCAAAGGGGGGCCCCAACAGACCAGCAAAATCCCATTCAATTTCTTCCGTAGGATATTGATTTTCAGCCATAATGTCTAAACCATTCAAGGTAGATTGACTACGAGGTTGTGAAACAAAAGTTTCTGCTCCTATAAAAGCCACAAGGTATGAAATCAACCTTGTTATTCGCAATCTTCTGGAGAAATACTACACTACCCACAATTCTAAGCAAAACACTGCTGTCTCTGATTGGTCGAACTCGCGGTTACCATGGCGACGTTTACCGCCCCCCAAACGGCTTGGATCTGAAGTATAATATTTGTAGTTTATGTATTTATACCTTTGCCTTTTTTGCCGTTAGGGTAAAATGTTATTTTGAGCAGAAAAAGAATTTTAAGAGGAAATGAAACGTACATATGCCAGTGGTGCTGAAAAACGAAAGATATCGGACAACAAAAGAAAAGCTTCAGTCTACCAAAAGTGAAGTAACCCTGCGTGAAAGGGCGAGGCTTATTCCAACGTAAAACGCTGTATAATTGTATATAGTTTTAATCAAATAAGGTTGGATTATTTCTATGTGGAGCTGCCTGTTAATGAAGCTGAAAGTGCACGTAATAAAATAATATACCATTGATGCAAACAAACAGGAATCCTTGCTTTTTCTGCTCTATTATGTTTGTTTTATGTGGGTAGTGCCCCATATTAGTTATTGAAACAGGCCCCCAGATGCTGAAGGCCGCCACTGGCTTATAGATAACAGTAAGGCTAACATATTCATACTAAAAGCCCCCCAAAAAATGTAAATAGGGCACTATTTGAGGGAACAGCCATTTGAGTGTTCGAAACCATTGTGGACGTTATTGAGAGCACTTATTCAATCTCACATTCAATTCCACTACTGGAACTGTGTTCTAGAAATATATTTGATATTGATATGAGGGTAGGTAGGCAGGCATGCATAGATTAGATTCAGAGGCATAAGGTACTGTATTACACACAACAATGCAACAATAATAAAACAATGCATTGCCATTTACGTTTTACTTTTAAATACTTAAGTACTTTAAAAACCAAGTAGTTCTGTACTTTTAAAACCAAGTAGTTCTGTACTTTTAAAACCAAGTACTTCTGTACTTTTAAAACCAAGTACTTCTGTACTTTTTAAGTAAAAATCGTTCTTTACAACTTCTACTTGTAACAGAGTAATATTTGACCCGTACTATCTGTACTTTCATTCAAGGAAGTTGTGTACTTTGTCCACCTCTGGGGTCCCCGGTTCGAGCAAGGGGGTAATCCACCAGCCGGAAACTGAAGTCTCCCCGGGCGCCGCCATTGGCTAGCAAGCCTTCACCTGCTGTTAGCATTTCCATTGACTCCCATTCATTTTTGCGTCACTTTGACAGCGAATAACTTTACATCTGAGACGTTTAAAGACTCCATTTGTCCATTATTTATTTCTAAAGAAACACGACAATGTATAAAATGCTCCATTACCTTGTATCTTACGTTGTGGCCCCGTAGAAGCAGTTTTTGTAAAAATAGGCTAACGATTGCGTCATAACACGCGACTCTGTCGCATAGAAGAAAAATTACCGTATAGACAGAAGTAGAAGCTCACGCGCAATCGGGGGACGTGGAGGCATAAAGTCAAGGGAGAAGCCCATAGAGAGTCATAAAGTTGCTCCTGCTGCGAGCTCATGGACAGCTAATACTCACGATCTCCGGCTCTGCAAGATTCAGAAGGGAATGATTCAGATTCCTCTTGGCACCGCTACTAGAAGACGTACAACTGTCAGTCAGGTTGCTCACGTCACAACTACGTCTTCAAGCTCAGTTTGAGCATGCGCAGTGTGCTTGGCAATCAGGAAGTGAGTGCTTCTATTTGACTTCACTTTTCTCCGTTGAAGTCTATGGGGTCGCTGTGTCCATTTCTTTTACTGTCTATGGGTTCGAGTCCCTGCTGACCCAGGAGGTCTTTCTGTGTGGAGTTTGCATGTTCTCCCTGTGTCTGCATAGGTTTCCACCACTATCAAAAAACATGTAGTACAGGTGAATTGTAATGTAATGGGGAGGACCTGGCAACCTACCCGGAAAAAATCATTGCTAAGAAAATTAATGGACAGTCTCTCGCGTATGGCAAGAGGTGGCCATAGAGTCACCAAGAGTCCAAAGCGACTGAAATTGTAATATATAGATAGGGTTTTCATAATCAAAAACTGCTTTAGTCAGCATCCTTGGCAATATCACACCAAGACAAAAACACTGACTCTTAAATGTCAATCCTCACACGTTCTGAAGGATGGCAGTGTACAGCATGGCATCCACTTGAGATCTGGAAGTCCTCGGTGATAAAGAAATCCAACATACAGTCATGAGAACCTTCACTCATAACGTTTCAATTCAACATCTTCAACAAGCATATTGAAATAAGGAAACACCAGAGTTCGTGTACTGTAAAGATAACATGCGTCATCAAAACACTGAGGGATCATCTGTTTAATGTTAATGTCTAACGGTAATCCATTACGACAAAATTTTCTTCAGAAGCCAGTCAAAATATTTTGTCACGAGCTGGAAGAGCAGTTTAACTCAGTGTAACGAGTCCCCCCCTTTTGTTTAGTGTCAAGGAACCTTAATCAAAAATAAAATTAGTTTTGAGGAGGCTTCCTACTATCAAGCTAACTGGCTAAAAGCACACGTTATATCAGCGCACGAATTGTGTTAAAAATACACACGACGTTATCGGTTATTAATGACAAGAAACTCTGTTTGTTGTTAGTCAGACTCTTGATCTGCTTTTATGTTGTTTATCATAGGCGACGAACAGAGTGATGAGTTGAACAACAAAAACACAGAGCTCAAAGAAATGACGACAAACATCGGCAAACTTGAAGAAAAGTTTAGAAAAAGGAGAAAGAATAAACTCACGGTAACAAACTTTCTGCAGACGGCTGGAGGAAGATTAGAACCAAAAGCAGCCGTATGGTCCAATGCAACAGCAGACAACTGTAGAGAAAATAAACCGAGAACGGTTTAGCACTCGCGCCGTTTGGGGAATGTGGCACGATAAATGTCTGATGACGTCAACCGCGCGGCACGCCTTCCTCATGGCTGTATCGACAAGCTTGAGGATTTTATTCTTAGACATTATTGATATCGTTTTTGTTATATAAATTAGGGAATCTGAGTGCATCTTCACCAACCTTTTGTTTTCAAATAGGCTACGATTTTAGATTTCCCATAACAGTCTTATTAAGTCATCAAATCCACGTGTTGGATTTTTATTTATTATTTATATTAATTTAAACTATTTGGTAATATTAAATACAATAACAAGGATTAAATATGCAATTTGTAATACGAAAGCGTCTGATTTACCTCATGCATGTTTCGTATAATTATATATTTTACCCAAATGACAAGAATCAAACGTCATGGGGAAAATATTCTTAAATCTATGAATTTACTGACATCTAGTGGTGAGTGTTACAGTAACATTTATTAAACACTGACCGTTTACTACATTTTCATACATTTTTTAAGAGAAACTTCTGCAAGTAATAGCTAGGCCTATATCATAACGAGTAAAATATTATTGAATGCAAAATCCAAATCTTTGAATATATATTATATAGGCTACAATTTCAAAATATACAATTGAATCCTGCTAAGGATCAAATCAAGTCACACTCAAATATAGTTTATATTTTCCACAACCTACTTTTTTCCCCTCAGAAATGTACTTTTTACAATATACATTTACAATCATAATAATTTAAATTAAAAATTAATTATAGTTCTGATATGCTAATAAATTGTTAAGAAACAGGGCTGCGTTCAGCCCCGACAAAACGTTGCACAACGTTTTTTAAACAGAAATGGTGATGCGTTGAACAGGTTAAACACACTGTTCTGATGACGCAAGAGTTGCAACTGGCAGCTCAGAAAGCCATTCTTTGTGTTCTTTGTGAAGAATTTTCGGAGCCTGATGAAGTCGGTATAAATATGTGTTTATGGCCTCGTTTACAGTGAAATGTGACCCAATTCCGATTTTTTACTCGTATGCGACACAGATCGGGTGTGTTCTATGCATGGGCGTAGATTACGCGGGGGACGGGTCACGGGGGGGACGTGTCCCCCCCCCACTTTTTATAAAATGTAAATTCGTCCCCCGCACTTTTTCATAGGGCAAATGTGTCTATGACAAGCTGAGGTTTTCGCGGGTGTGTATAGCCTGCCCTACATCGAGATTTAAAATCCAAAGAAAGGATAGTCTATCTACATACGTGACTTTCACGCTTCCATGGTAATCAGTCACTCGTGCGACACGCCCATGCTCGCAGCCGCGCCGAATCCATCAGTTTGATAGAGTTCAAAACGGCAAAAAAAACCTCTTCACTCCTTTTTCACGAAAAAGTCAAGCACTGTAAGTTGTCATGTGGTATCGGAATTGTGTTGCACAATGATGAATAACTCTGTCTATTTCTCTTGTTGAATAATTAACAAGTTTTGTTGTAAATTGAAAATATTCACTATACCCGGATTACCCGCACAAACGTGCACTATTTTCAATCTTTTTTATTCGTAATGTCTTTTATTTTCACAGATATGTTATCAAAGCCGTTCAAATTAGAATAAACATGGTGATTGTTAATGCTGAATTTGTATGTTCATGCATTAACAGCCACGATCTGCTTGAATCAGGCAGTAACATGTGTAGACTATTGCTGCGTTCCAGGCAGGTTTTTGAGCACGTAAATCACGACTTCAAACCACGACTCACGACTTTGTAGCATTCCAGGCCAGTCACGCCAAACTACCTGAGCGCAATATACATACTTATTTTTTCAGACACATAACATTGTAATACATAATCGTGTGTGTATATACATACTTATTGTTTCAGACACATTGTAATACATAATCTTGTGTGTATTGTTATCATTATTATTATATTATTATTAATTTGACTGCAACGTTATATTGTCCTAAAGTGTATTCTCGCCGTGTACCGCCTGCAGAAACACTGCATCCGTAGGGGTTGCCATTGTTGTTTTGTATGGTTTTGCGGGCTATGTGACGTCAGAACTCGTAACTGGGAGTACATCGATCTAGTACGAGTTCACGGGTGGGAAGTCACGGGTTTGACTGCCGTTCCAGTGCACTTTCACGGGTATAAGGTTGGAAAATAAGGTCAGATCGGATTTTCCGAGGCATTAGGCTGCGTCTCCGCGGTTTAATGACGAGAGAAACCCCGACGCGCATCTGCGGATGGACGGATGGCCCGATGAATGGCCCTGTCGTCGTAGGAGAGGCCTTTCATTTGCAATAATAAAGAGATCTGTGCAGACATTTGTCCATTGAAATAAAACGTGTATATTTCTCTGTCTGCATTTACTTGTACAGAGACAACTGTCACACACACAGTTAATTAATTATTCCAAAAAATATTGGATAGGGACAGTATGAACAACAAAAGTGACTGTGCTGAGTGCAGTGCTTATGGTGGAGGGACTCGAGGAAGTGTAATAAAGTAAACTGCAGTAAACACCACAGTTTGGGGTGGATGAAGATTTTTATTGAGAAAATGAATTTTTTGAAGTGTGTTGGGGGTTTAGACAATTCCTCTTCTTGGACAAAACCTCACCAGCCTTGGAAAAATATCCTTTCACAAGGAACAGAGGATGCAGGGGAACATAAAATGTCACTGCCAGTGGGTATGAAGATACTGATGCTTCTGTTGAGCCCAGACAGGGGAGGATTTCCTCTTTCTTGCTGGCTCCATTACCATGGAAAAGGAAGATGTCATAAAAAGCAAACAAATCCAAAAGGGCAATCCAAATTAAAAAGCAGTCCAGTCCAGATCCAACCAAAAATCCAAAGCAATCCAAATAATCTTATCTAATTAATATAACAAGACTATAATATAGCTACTATAATTAATAATACCAATTATTAATTATTATTAATAACTATTCTAACCTGATATAATGTAATAATATACAGCCCTAACACATATATATGACACAATAACGACAATGAGAGTTCTCTAACTCTAACTCTCGGACACTACAACTGCTTCTACTACTCCTGCAACTTCCACAAGGTGGCGCGAGTTTCGAACCCCCTTTATCCAGAAGCGACCTATATGGGGAGGCTGCAGACCTGGTGCCGGCAGATATACGCCCCTGGTTTGATTAGTTGAGACTGTTTTCCAAAGATGGCTCCTGTCTGTATACACGAAGTGGACTGTCTTTATCTTTATCTTCTTATTAAACGGTCTGTACACTTACAAAGTTCTCAATGCTTCGTTTTGCATGTAGAGACCCTCATTATGTTACTGTGTTAGTGTGGGGCTATTTTGAGCCTTGTTAGTGGTATAAACTAGCGATTTCTTTTTACTTATTATATGCCCCCATTACTAGCGTTATACGCTAAACAGTTTTTAGAGATAAAACTCTTTACATTCGATTATCATGAAAACAAATCTCAGAGAACGGTTGACTAGGTACCAATGTTTTATTAGACCAAAGGTTCATTTTGCGCCGGAGTTCTCCTTTAAGTGAGGCGGGCGAAAGCACAAGGTCTGATCTACAATTTTGGGTCAGAAGCAAAGCCACAAGTTTTCGATGCTGAGATATAGATAAATGTAGAAAATAATAGTAAACGGTGTAATAAAATCAATTAAACTTTAGATTATGAAATTAAACCGCCAGTAGGTGGCAGCAAGTCACCGTCTTAAAGGTGGGGTAAGCAGTATTTGAAAAAGGCTGTTTGGAAGTTAGTCAACCGACACACGAACAACAACAACAACAAACGTGTGTAGCCAATCAGCTTTAGTATGCAGTATATCAGCAGTATGATGGCGGTGATTTGAAGAAAGACTGCAGAAATAGAGATGAAACACACAATACAAAAGTGAAAAGCTCAGAAGAAATCACTGGAAAATAAAGGGTTATGTCTGGGCAAGAGCTTTAGGACTCGCGTTAACATTAGAAAAGCTTTCCAGCGCTGCGCTAAGCGGGAAAGCCTGAAAATAGACATGGAGGTTGCCTTGATTCACTCCACAGTAATTGTCATTATTTGTCTGCAGCTGTTGTGCTGTTGGCAACTAACAACCTACTCTTGTTTGTAATTACTATTGTGTACTGTACGTTAATTTTTTTGTGCATCTGCACTTTATTTTTCGTGAAGCATTATTGTGCTGCGCTTCTGCTATGATAAACAGACATCCACTCTTGAATTGCATGCGTAACGAGATGGTCCTCACTGCAGAACACTCCTCCCACCTTACATATACCTAAACCTACCCATCTCTGCCCCCTGATCCCTAACCCCACCCCTAATCCTACCCATCTCCACCCCTTACAGGGCTCTAGAGTGCACATGCGACCAAAATTTGTAAGGGTGCGACAAGAATTTTTCCTAGGTCGCACCAGTGCACCTAACGTTCTCGCATGATCGCATCCGCTGCCTCTCCACAAACGAGTCTTTTGTTCTCCTTGCACGCATGGTTGGATCATATCGTGGTCTAAACCAATCAGAGATAGAGATTGGGTGGGTCTTTGCCTCTGATTGGTTGTGGTTCAGATATTCCTGTAGGACTAAAATGCTCCGTGCTGTGTGATTGAAATAAATTGCGACATGTCACCTGAGCACCAGAGAATCAGTTACGGCAATCAGCAGCATCAGCTAAATAAACGCAGGAAAACAGACGACGAAGAAACTTTTAAAAATGTAGGCTAATTGAACTAGGTAAAAAATATTGATTTCTCGATTTTAATCGATTCTCATTGATTTTTACGAACCGTTGGGCTATGCTGTTTTCAGTTGATGAATGAATGTAACATTGTAGCGAGCATCCCATCCAATAAACCGCAATAATCTTTGTGCTTTGTTACTATTGATATGAAACAAAGTCTCAGATTTCAAATTAGGTCCATTTTCTTACGAAATTCAAAAACATAAATAGTGTATTGACGCTGTGGCGTGAGATCGCTCTGGCTCAGCTCAGCTCAAGAGAAGCAGCAGCGCGGAGCGCACATGATCTTCTCTTCCGCCTTAATAATACCAGTTACAGCGC